CTTAGACTTAAATATTTGCGCTTTTACTATCACATAAAGTGTCGGTGGGTAAGGTGGCTCCTTTTTCCAATATCTTTCGAAATCCACTTGTTTCGTTTCGGTTGTATTTAGCATGGCTTTTTACAACAGCATTCTTCTCACTTGTGAAAGTTGGACATCTTTTGTACATTCCAGTTCAGACAATTACCGTTTCCTAAAACCTTTAAAAGAGTACACTAAACGATTTTTCCAACCGTGGTGTGAGCCTGATTTCTGTTGTAATCTGTCTACTATCTTCAATCATATTAACGACGCTTAACCCCGGCGCAAGAAAGGCGAACCCGAGAGTGGCAGATAGGATTTTATCCAAACAAGGGTGCGTTGATCACGCCTCCATATTATGTTAAGTTTTTGGGCGGCAGCATACACACCGCCGGCCAATAATGGCAGTTTTCCTCGGATTCGAAGAGGCCTTTGACTCCGTAGACTGGTCACTTCTACACTTGCGTGGCCAAGGAGGAATCTTTCTGAAGTTTGTGAATATACTCCACGCTCTCTATTCCTACATTTTTCGAAAGTTTTATTACGATTAGTGGGGTTCGGTAATGCTGCCCTTCCTGAACTATTCAGACATTGTTCTATCATTTAACGATCATCATTTCTCACAATCTACTCTCGGCAGAGTTTTGGATGTGGTTCTTAGTTCCGGTATGTTTTGAACCTTCAAAGGGCAAGCCATTACTTCGGGATTTTGAGTCCTCTTGTGTCTCTGAAACTTTATTGGTCGGTTTGCATATTTAGGTAGCGGTATAAACAGTGACTGTTCTGTGACAGAAAAAATCAGCGCACGCGTTACGAAGCTGCAGGCAGCATTTCCGAACTTGCGTCATTCATGGTGTCATCAACTAATTTCACTGAAGCTAATGGGGTGCGTATCAGGCAACTGTGATAGCAGTCCTACTCTCTGGCTGTGAAACTCGGCTCCCCCGATCCGAGGACACCAGACGGAGCAAACCGTTGATCATTGGCGCTTTCGCAGTTTGACCGCTGTTAGTTGACTGCAGTGTGTGTAATTGGGTACTTGGTGGTGAATGGGAGTCGCCAGAACATTAAGTGAAACCCAGTCAGGTTAGGATGGCTGGAGCAAGTACTACTCATACTCAACTACCGCCCACCAAAGAAAGCACTGTTTTCAATCCCGAAATATTGTTCGTGCAAGACCACCGAAGACAGGCTATGACTCAGCAACACAAAGTTAAGACAACTACCATTTTGGCGGAATTTCAAGTGTAAGCTATGTTTTGACATAGCATCGCTCTGAGGGAATATTAATCTAAACCAGCTTCACGTTGGCATCATTTGGAATGCTTCATGCGAGGCCTTAATTATAGACAGCGGGAGAAATGTACATATATCGGTGGATTAATAACGTCAACCTATTTATTTTACAGCAACCACTGAAGTAGCTTATTAGTTCATCTCATCCTGATAACCTGGACATCTATCCGTTAACTACCGGTATGACATGTATTGCCTTATCGGTTGTTGTTTTTTATCTCTTCACCACCAACTAATAGTCAATCAGCCTACCTCCTTAGGGCTCACTACTGACGGCCAAACTGCCTATCTGGCATGAGGTTGCATTCGATAATTTGCTCTATTCGGGCGACCGAACTACTTGTATTTAGGTTTATCTCTACCAGCTTAGCATATTCGATTACCGCGTCAATGACATGGAATGAGGTAGTCGGCGTGGTCTTCCCAAATCCACCATTTGTGTGAGTGATAGATGTTGATTAACGATGAGTTCGTAAATTTTTACTGATTTGCAATTGTAGAGAATATTGGTAACTAGGGTTGCAATGATGGCCGTCGTCTTATTCGCTGAGCCGAACAATTTGACTGCAATCGTTTCATCACCAGTGAGGTGACATGATCAGTGTATGTGTGTGTGTGTGTATGTTTGTATGTATGTATGTATTTGGAAGTTCGTGGAGGTTGGAAGTGCACTTCCAAGGTGACTAAGAGTGCACCTCAACGCGCTTCCACTCACAACGCACCGATGATGTCCACCTGACATGATGAAACGCATGTAACCAAAATGCTCAGCACAACCCTGCTCAGAGAACAAACCAACGACCATTTTTACTGATGGTTGAAAGTCTATGCGATATCCCATTGTCGAAGTGTTATCTTGAGAAGTTGTGGGTGCGTTCTACTCCGGAAGTTGATAACAAGTCTCGATGCGGTTACTTCCAGGGAAATGCTGTTTCCTTCATTTTTTTGCAAGTTTTTTACGTTAAACGAAATGAACGCCGGAAAATTCATTCAGAAATGAGTTGCCGTTTTGAACTGCTAAGATATTTGGTATGATGTTCTCTCTATTGGAATGAGTTGTTACGTCTTTTTATACATCATTTGAACACCCAAAATCGAACTGTGGTATAATCCTGCAGAAATTCAAGTGATCCGACAAGTATTTTGTGCATGGCATTCATTTACCTGGAAGCCTCGTTCTTTCA